GGGCGGGCCCGGGGCAGCCGCGGGTTGCTCCAGGGATGGCTGCAGATTGTCCCAAGGGGAGCTCAAGGGCTTCCAGGAATGGCTCAGGGGGCCCAGGGATGGTTAAAGTGTGACTTGGGGTGGCTACAGTGTCCCAGGAGGGTGTCCAGGGATGGTTAGAATGTGACCTGGTGGGGTTACAGTGTCTAGGAATGGCTCAGGGGGTCCAGGGATGGTTAAAGTGAGACCTGGGGTGGCTACAGTGTCCAGGGAGGGTGTCCAGGGATGGCTTTGGGTGTCCAGGGATGGTTAAAGCCTGGCCTGAGGTGGCTGCAGTGTCCAGGAAGGGTGTCCAAGGTTGGCTCAGGGGGAGCAGGGATGGTTAGAGTGTGACCTGGGGTGGCAACAGTGTCCAGGGAAGGTGTCCAGGAATGGCTTAGGGTGTCCAGGGTTGGTTAAAGCGTGACCTGGGGTGGCTATCGTGTCCAGGGAGGGTGTCCAGGGGTGGCTCACGGTGTCCAGGGGTGGTTTAAGGGTGTCCATGAATGGCTCAGGGGGTCGAGGGTTGGTTTAAGAGTGTCCCAGTATGGCTCAGATATTCCCAGGGGTGATTAAGGAATGTCCAGGGATGGCTCAGGAGGGTCCCTCTTGGGCTCTTTACGCAGGTGGAGAGCTCTTCATGCAGCTGGAGCGGGAAGGGATCTTCCTGGAGGACACTGCCTGGTAGGGATGAGGTGGTGGTGGGGGGTGTGGAAGGGGTGGGCACCCCGACATGGCTCACAGGCACCCCAATCCCACCGCAGCTTCTACCTGAGCGAGATCACGCTGGCCCTGGGTCACCTGCATTCCCACGGGATCATCTACCGGGACCTTAAGCCAGAGAATATCATGCTCAACAGCCAAGGTGGGCTTGGGGGGCAAACTGGGGAGCCTGGGGGTTTCTCTGGGGGCAGTGCTGACCCCCCCATGTCCCTCAGGCCACATCAAGCTGACGGACTTCGGGCTGTGCAAGGAGTCCATCCACGACGGGGCCGTCACCCACACCTTCTGCGGCACCATCGAGTACATGTGAGGTGGATGCAGCACTGGTGGGAATTTGGGGGGGTCTGTGCTGGCTCCCCATCCGCTCAGGGCCCCCCCTGCACCCCCAGGGCCCCCGAGATCCTGGTGCGGAGCGGGCACAACCGGGCGGTGGACTGGTGGAGCCTGGGCGCCCTGATGTACGACATGCTCACCGGATCGGCAAGTGCCACCGCTGCTCCCTCCCTGCTCCCTGGGGACCAGGGGGAACATCCCGGGGTCACCCCGAGCCCTCATGGCCCGCCTGGCTCCTCATGGCCCCCCTGTGCCCCCACAGCCGCCGTTCACCGCCGAGAACCGCAAGAAGACCATCGACAAGATCCTCAAGGGGAAGCTGGTGCTGCCGCCCTACCTGACTCCTGACGCTCGTGACCTCCTCAAGAAGGTGCCCCCCAAATTCCCTCCCCCACTTTTATTTATGTAGGTCCTGCCCCACCATTCCTATCTCTATCCCTGTTTCTCTCCAGTTCCTGAAGCGGAACCCCAGCCAGAGGGTTGGGGGTGGCCCCGGTGATGCAGCTGATGTGCAGGTACAGGGCTGGGTGGGGATGGGGTGTGCCAGGAGACACCCCCCAAATGCTGCCTGACACCCCCAAACCCCACAGAAACAGCCTTTCTTCCGCCACATCAACTGGGAGGACCTGCTGGCGCGCAGGCTGGACCCGCCCTTCAAACCCTGCCTGGTATGGGGGCCGAGGGGGGAGGCTGGCAGTGTTTTTGGGGGGC